GAAGCTTAAATTTGAGAATTAGAAGAAGCTGAAATCGATCAAGGCTAACAAGATTAGAGCAGGGGACCTTCATGTGGCACGGAGGTAGCATTCCTACTCCTGAGACCTTAGACATGGTCTCAAGTCCCACTGGCTCCAGAGGTGTATAATAACATTCCTGAAAAAGTTGATTAGGAAAAATATGTTGGAACAGCATGTGATATCATTGGAAAACAGATAATTTTAAACTTTTTTTGTTTATCTGTAAAATGTACATCAAAGAGACAGATGGTCTAGCTATTAGCAGACACACAATACTATCAAGCCTCAGAAACTGAGAAAGAAAAGGTAACAGAATCTTTCCAAAAAATAACGTACAGAGACAGCCAGTGTTCACATGTAATTGACATGATAGAAAGAGAAAAGATTTCTCTTTTTTGGAAATATTCAGAGCTCCAAGATCACTGTGAATTATTAGTTGAGGAAAACCTTCTGCTACAATGCATGAGTGATGATCTTCTATTTGAAAAAGAAACTCTTGAATGGTAGAAAAGATAAATCCTTGTGGTCATTAGCAGGAGGCCATTATGGAAAGGCAGGCCCTTACAATATTGATGGAGATCACCTGCAAAAATATGATGATTTTTGAAAAAATGCTTAGAAATACACAGGGAAGTAAATGCAGAATCTATGCTGTCAACATCCAGCTAATGTGAACATGTCATTGGCATTAAGAATAGTAGGTCGGTGCATGCATGTTCTACATGCACTGCTATTGTCTAATTTATCATCCAGCTTGCAGACCATGGTGTATACAAAAACTTCTTATAGACACCCAAGTCCAGAAATGCATTTCCTTATGGATGGTGATGCACTTCTACTTTCTATAGGAGATCTGGAAATGTTCTTATTTACACAGGAGCAGATTCATGCTGAAACAAGTGTCAAACTGTTACTGCTTTATAGAGGGAGTAACATTCCCATTTTGTAGAGAAATCATCACTCAATTGTCTCCAGGCAACTCTTTTGTTTCTCTTTCATTCAACAGATGTATGTTTGACTCAGAGTGTGCCAGAAATTCAGGTGAACTCACCGTATAAATACACCTACAAGAGCAGATCAGAGGTAAGGAATCCTGTAGTCAGTAGCTTTCGACTCCCCAAAGCCTGTCTGCCAACTACAACGCACAATTCAGGAGTGTGATGGAATACTCCCCACTTGCCTGGATGAGTGCAGCTCCAACAACACTCAAGAAGCTTGACACCATCCAGGATTGGCACTACATCTACAAACATTCACTCCCTCCACCACCAATGCTCAGTAGCAGCAGTGTGTACTATCTACAAGATACACTGCAGAAATTCACCAAAGATGCTCAGACAGCACCTTCCAAACCCACAACCACTTCCATCTAGATGGACAAGAGTAGCAGAAACACGGGAACATCACTACCTGGAAGTTTCTTTCCAAGCCACTCACTGTCCTGAATTGGAAATATATTACTATTCCTTCACTGTTGTTGGATCAAAATCCTGGAGTTCCCTCCCTGAGGGCATTGCGGGTCAACCCACAGCAAATGGACTGCAGCAATTCAAGAAGGAACTCCCCACCACCTTCTCAAGGATAACTATGAATGGACAATAGATGCTAGTCCAGCCAGTGACACCTACATCATGCGCTTAAATAAAAAATAGTTAAAGGGCTGGAAGGCTGCCTCTTCAATCAGTTTTTCCCTGATCCGTATTCTCTACTAAACAGCCTGGGAGCCAGTTTAGGGAGTTCAAATCTGCTGGGCCTCTTGCTGCAGAAGACCTGATGGCCAAAACACTGCCTCACACTGCCTCACACTCACTCACTCACACACACACATACACATACACACACACACACACACCAATCCTACTGTCAGGTAGAATCAACCCCAGTCAATAGGGTGTTTGAACTCTTCATTTTAAATACAGTCTGGTGTGAGATGGTCCGGGGACTTCATTTTAAAAAGAGACAGTCAGAAACCAATCCAGAGCCACATTTGTGGGCTGGTTCCATTCTGAGTAAAAATAAGATTGTGATGCCATTGAGAAACAGGGCAAATGATTGGTTGGTGAGTAACTCACTCACCATGTAACTTTTGAGTAATAATGTTTATATATTGATATTAAGATATAAAAGCAATAATCAAGTTTATTAGGCGTACTAGGGTTTACTAATTAAAACAATTTAAGACAAAAACATTTATACACGATAATGGTAATACGATAAAGAAAAGCTGGTGGGGTAGCTTTGTTCCTTAAAGATGTCATTAATATAGTAGTGATAAAAGACCTTCAACTGAAGGAGCAAGATGTAGAATCAGTTTGAATCGAGATAAGAAACAGGAAAGGTAAGAAATCACTTGTGGGAGAAGTATAAGACCCCACCTAAGGGTAGTGATGCTATAGGACAGAATATAAGGAAGAAATAAATGGGGCTTGTAAGGAAAATGGTACGATAACCATGAGTGACTTGAATTTACATGTGGATTGAATAAATCAGTTTGGCAAAGTTAGCCTGGAAAATATCTTCACAGAATGTTTTCAGGACAATTTTTCAGGGTGAGTTGGATGATTTCTGTTTGCAGGTTCTGGATGTTTCTCACTGCTGCCCTGGCACTTACAGCGTTTTAATACCCTGCAGTTCAATAAAGGGACAGTTGTCAGGCAGAATTTCCTTAACTAAAAAGATTCCTAATGCTGCTCACTCTCAAATTCTCATCCTCATTGTTTCCAAAAGCAACATTGTATTGCACTGCTCAAAATATGCAGTGCTTGATTTGTAAGTTGCAAAACTCTCCTGGCATTTCAGCTACATAGCAGTCCAATTTCTCACTTTATAGTTTCAAAAATATGTGGTATGTTACAAAAGGTTACTACACAGATAAGAGCACATTGTGTAAGGTGTAACATATTAACATGGATAAAGTATTAGTTAACAGAACCTTTTCCAGGTTAGCAAGCTGTAACTAGTGGAGTGCTATAGGGATTAATGCTGGGCCCTCAACTATTTACAATCTATATCAATGGCTTGGATGAACGGATGAAACATGCAGTAGTTAAATTTGTTGGTAGCAACAAGATAGGTAGGTAGGAAAGCAACTTTTCATGAAAAGATAGAGAGTAACATAAAGTGAGTGGACAAAAATTTGTCAGAATAACTATAATGTGAGAAAATGTGAACTTGTCCATGTTGTCGAAAGAATAGAAAAGGGGTATATGTTTAAATAATGGTACAGAGGGATCTGAGTGTCCGGGTGCATGGATCACAAAAAAATAGTATATAGGTACAGCAAGTGATTATGAAGGCAAATAGAATATGTGCATTTCTTGCAAGGGGAATAGAATATAAGCTTTGGGAAATTTTACTGTCCAGGGTCTTTATGAGACCATATCTGGAATATAGTGACAATTTTTGTTCCCTTATTTGAAGTTGTAAAAAGATATAATTGAGTGACAAGCATCTCAGAGAAAATGCATTTGAATTATTCTTGGAATGAAAGACTGTGTTATGAAGCATGGTTGAACAGGTTGGGCTGTATCCTTGGAGTTCAGAAGAATGAGTGATGACCTTATTGAAACATATAAGATCCTGAAGGGACTTGATAGTATTGATATCAGGGGATATAGTCTAAGAATAAGAGGACTCCCTTTTAAGCCAGATAAGAGGGATTTCTTTTCTATCAGATGGTCAATTGTATGTCCAATAATTGTCCACAGAAAGCATTGGAAGCTGGAAGATTGAATTGATTCAAGGTAGATTTAGATAGGTTTTTGATGGACAAAGTGTCAAGGTTTGTGGGGCAGATGGAAAGTTGAGCTAAGATCACAACCACATCTTATCGAATCGTGGAATATGTTCAAAAGGCTAAATGTTTCACTGCTGTTCCCAAATCCTGTATTCCTATACTCTTGGCATTGTATGACACGGTACATTTTGTCTGATGTTAACAGCTCGGCCTCAGAACGTATTCAATAACCCACTTTTGTGTCCTCCAGGTTCATGAACTGGGAGCCAGGAAGAAAAGAAATCATAAGGAAATAAAAGAAGGAACTGTCACAAGTACAGGAACATAAATTCAAATACAACCTTTTACCTTAATATTAATTCAGAGAACACTAACGTTTAAAGAAATTGTGGTGTACTATATTTTCTGCCACTAAACCTCAATGCAAGGCTTCATACGGACTCTGAATGAAATGATCTATCACTTCAATGGAACAGAGGTGTCTACAAAATATATTAATCTGCTAATAATTTTAGAGAGAGATCTGTACTCTCTTTCAAGGGAGCTCATAGTCTTGGAAAACAGAAGACTTGAGTCAATATGTTCGAAATGGAGGAACTATCATGGAAATTGTTTCCTGCTGGGTAGCAAGTGGCTAACAATGAAGTAAAACCTACTATTCCGTTCCTATATTTCGATATTTTCCCACTCAAAGCTTTAGTCAGTTCATTTCATGTAACTGCAACAAGAAGATGTTGTGATAAGTTAGAACCCAAGCTTCAAATCAGGCTCAGCACTGCATTACAAACTCCAAATCTGAGCACAATGGTCAGTGATTTAGAAACACTGAGCTTTAACTGTGACCTTTAGATTGTGACATCTCCTAATGTCCTCAAACTTTCCGAGAATTACATCTTTTACTCAAACTGGCCAAACTGGGATTTGCTCAAATTTTGGCTGGGATTTCATGTTGGGGCATTAACACTGTTTGAAGAATATTAAAAAATTTCTTCTTATGAACTGCATGCTTGTACTTACCTAAATGAACAGGTATTTTAAAAATGGAAATTTAAAAACAGGGCAATTGAAGATAAACATAATTTGGGGATCTCTGTGACCTAGCTATGGACAGCAATGATGAGCCAGTCTGTTTGATTTATTCTCTAGGGGCTGCCCTTTCTCTGACCCAGGAGGGGGCTGTGTGGGAAGCTAGTTAGTGAGATAGGCCACTACTGCTGTTCTGCAGAATGTCTGGAGCCAGAGTGTTTGCAAAGAGCCTCTGATAAATAGGCAAAAAAGGCCTTGCTTGCTCCAGCTGGACTTCAGTGACGCTCAGAGATCATTGAATCCTCACGTAACAACTCAGCAAGCAGAGACTCCCTGTGCTTCACCAAATACTGGTAAGCAAAATTTAAAATCTATGCTTTTATTTTATTTCTGGAAATGTTTTCCAAAATGTATTTTACACTGTGTTATTACTCCAAAAAATCCATTTTTTGTTAACTCACTGAATTTCTGATATAAAGATAGCTTTAACGTAAGATATGAATATTAGCAAACAGTTAACAGTGAAATGAATTGAAGTTGTGTATTATTCAGCCAATGACATGAGATAACAACAATCTGATATATAGAATTATCTGTGTAACAAGCCTATTTAGCATATTGGGTCTGCCTCTTCTTAATATTTTTAAACTTGATTACACGTCCGTTGGATTGAACAGTATTCTCAACATTATAGCAGTGACTATGATTCAAGAAAAGTTCTTAATTGGCTACAAGTACTTTGAGATGTCCTTAGAAAGTAAAGGGCACTAACTGAAATGCAAGCTTTTTTAAAAATTGCATATTACGATGAACATGCACAGTTGTCACTATCTGTTAACAAATACTGGAGCAGTCTTAGATGTGACATAACATAAAGTGTTCTCTTTGAAATTTGTCGCCACGTTGAAATTATAATTGGTGGCTACTAGGAGTCAAACATTCATTGGATATTCATTTGTCCCGTATATTGATGCAAACATTAACTTATAGAGATATTAAATTTCTACTGATTTCGTAACAATCATACCTGTGGTTGTAAATTAATCTATAGTTCATTTTTCTAATTGTAATCGGAACATAATTATTACTGGGCAAGGTGTTTTGATGCTATGAGAATATGGGATACCTTGACTGCGGAGAGCTGGTCACATACACATAAAAATTATAACGTATTCTAAATATCTATCAATTGTCTTATAATTAACATCAAGTGCAGTGAATTTAGAAACTATAATACTATTTGAGGAATTATTTGTTCCCAGGTTATAAATAGTACCAGACTGTGCTATTTTAGTGAAGCGTTGCTGTTGTTCACAAAGTACTGGTGAAAAAGCATTGGTAAACTGATGAAGGTATCCACAAAATCTAAAAGTTTCGTGTTCATTATAATGTGACTAAGTCCATAGGCACAGTTAAAAAAAAGTTATCTAACTCAACAAGTGAAGCTTTGTTTAGTTATTGAGAAATCTTGATTATGGGCCAAAGCCTGCAGCACAGGACTCCACTAAGGTTGAAGCCAGCAGAACAAGTAAATTGTGAAGCGATGACTAGGTGACAGCATGCTCGATTGTTAGAAGTGTTAATTGAATACAAGAAGAAAAGGCTGAGGTAGATTAAATGGTTCAGAATTTTTAGGTCTTGGAAGATGCTATGACTTCCTTGGTTTTAAAGCAGTAAAAATGCAGTTTAAAGGCTGTATACTGAAATAACTCCACAGCGGCTGATATCCCATTACCAAGTTACCCTTTATTAACACATGCATATTACTTGACACTGGTCTGGCTTCCTCAGAGCCAGCTCACAGAGCGAGTAAAACCTCTGACAATCCTGTTTATATCTATCAGCCAGGGCTCCCTAATTGGGCAAGATTAACAGCCCCAATCAGGGAACTCATATTCTATGAGGTTCACTTGGCTGACCTCATTACAATCGCTACATCCCTTTCCCTCTAAGGCTGGGGACATTGATCTGTTTTTTGTCTTGTGGGCTCTTCTTGGGCTGGGTATGGTTCCTCTGACTCTGCCTCGGATACTGGTGGGATGTACCAGACTGTAGCCTGGCTTCTGCACCTGGAGAATCTCGGGAGAAATTCATCATCTTCAGTGGTAAAGCCATCAAGGCTGTGACATTTACCGTGTCCACCTCAGACACAGAGGTTTCTTTGATGCTAGACAGAAGGGGAGAACCCACAGTTTCCGACAGCCTTTCCAGCTGTTCTAAGGGCCTGGGTATGTTTTGCTCCTGCCCTGTTTGTGAGTTTGCAGCTTTCATATGGTCCATGTGCTTGTTCAGGATCACCTACCTACCCAGACTTTGTTTGTCAGAGGAATTGACTTTGCATTGACCAGCCGGGCCATTCCAATCTTCGACAGTAAACTGTCTCTCTCACTTAGAGGAGTCTTCTGTTTGGCATTGACATTCCTGAAGCCATTTCACCCTCCCTCCCAGATCCGGAAAAGTCAGATTTAACCTGACGCGGAGACTTCTCCCTATTAGCAACTCTGCTGGAGCTATCCCTGTAGTTGCATGCGAGGTAATCCAATAATCAAGTAGGAATCGGTACAGTTTGGTATCTAGTGAAGCTGTAGGCTGTTTCTTTCATCCTGCCTTCAAAGTTTGGGCTGCTCTTTCCGCCAGACGATTGGATAATTGATGGTATGGAGCTGTCCTTATATGTCAAATGCCAATTCAACTTTAGGAAGTACTCAAACTCCCTGATAGCCAGTTGTCTATGACCAACACTTCCAGGAGCTCGTGTACTGTAAATGATGCTCACAACTTTTCTATCATCACCCCAGTGTTTTACAAATGAACTCTATGCACATCCAACCACTTTGAGTGGGTGTCCATAATGACTAAGAACATTGAGCCCATGAAAGTTGACGTATAACCAGGTGCAGGGTTTACTTGGCCAATCCCACAAATATGGGGGAGCTGCTGGCTGTACTTTTTGTCCTTGTTGACACTCTGGGCATTGTCCCAGCAACACGGCTATGTCTGCATCCAATCTTGCCCACCAAACATAACTTCTCACCAACACCTTCATTTTGGAGACCCCTGGATGATCCTGGTGGAGTTCAGCCAGTATCTTTTGGTGACTCTTGCTCGAGACAGTGACTCTCGCTCCCCATATTAACATGCCATCCTCCACTGTGATCTGGTCTCGCTGGGTCCAGAAAGGTTTCATTTCTGGTTGTGACGGCCTTTTTGTTTCCCCCATCATCACCAGCTGTTTTAGTTTTGCCAGGATGGGACTCTTTTGAGTCCACAGTCTGATATTGTCAGAGGTGACAAGATGGATTTCCAGAAATGTTACAACCAGAATGGACCCTTCCAATAGCAGTACCACTGGTGGTATATCTGCCAGTGGGAGGCGGCTCAAGGCATCTGCATTTGTTACCTGGCCTCCCAGATGGTGTTCCAATTTGTAATTGTATAGTTAGAATTCGACCTGAAGCTATGGGCAGCATGGCCTTGTCCTCTTTGAGTAGCCCTAGCAGGGGTTTAAGGTCTGTTACTATTACCAATTTACAACTGTAAAGGTATTGGTGGAACTTTCTCACATCAAAAGATGGCCACCAAACCTTCGCTTGTGATCACAGTGTGCCAACACCTTAGACAATGATAGCTGTGTCTTCACTTCCCAAAAGGCTACGACTTGGCTACAAGACTATTTCCAAGGCTGACTTTTTTTCAATAGCATATGTAATAATGCCAGATAGAGGCCAGGTTATGTCTGAACTTTCTGTAATAATTCACCAAATCAAGGAAAGACCTAAGTTCTGGTACAGACATAGGAGTCAAGGCACCTTTCATCGCCCTCAATTTATCTTTCAACGTGTGTAATCCGGTTTTGTCGACTCTGTAACCCAAGTCACTTGGGGAGCCTGGAACATACATTTTTCCCTTCTAAGGTGTACACCCACCTTGGAGAAATGTCTAAGGACTATGTCCAAGTTCTCTAAGTGCTCCTTATTGGTCTTCCCTGTTATTAGCATGTCATCCAGATAAATGGTGACCTGGGCGATACCTTGAAAAATGTTCTCCATCATCCATTGAAAAAGTCTGATGATACCCCAAAAGGCAGTCTCGTATATGGGTGCAAACCTTTATGGGTATTAATTGTAGCATACTTCTGGGAATGTTATCTGATCCACAATTTCAGGTACTCCTGGCTCATGTCCAGCCTTGTGAAGGACAGCACCCCTCCAACAGCATTGTATATAAATCCTCTATGTGAGGGATTGGATATTTATCCAGCTGTGAGAAGTGGTTTACCATTTATTTAAAATCCCCACAAAGGCGAACTGACCCGTTGGGCCTCCCAATCAATATGACTGGTGCTGCCCATTCCGCAAATTGAACTGGTTTAACAATTCCTTCGCTCTCCAGCCTCCTGCTTTCTATCTCTAATTTCTCACATAAGGCAAATGTCACTGGGCGGGCCTTGCAGAATCGCGGAACTGCTTCCTGGTCAATGTACAAGGTGACCGCGGCTCCTTTTATAATCCCTAGACCTATCTGAAAATTTCCAGGGTATTTAAATAGGGCCATTTTCTAATCAAAAATGTTGAGCCAATCATGGTGAATCTTCCTCATCCAATTTCGCCCTGTCAGGCTTGGGCCTGAGCCTTTTTACTACATTCAGTGGTAACTGAACCAAGGGCTTCTCATAAGAGACCAGAACTGAAGTTGTTCCTTTAATCTGTAAAGGTTCCCCGGTATAGGTTCCCAGCCTGGCTGAGGTCTTGCACAAACTCAAGGGCTGGAGTCCAGAGTGAATTTTGTTAAAGACTCGTTCTGCAATCACTGATATGCCCGCGCTGGTATCAACCTCCATTAGAACCAGGTGACCATTTAACCAGATATTTAATTTGATTGGTTCTGTTTTGGATGTTGCTAAGCAATTTAACTGTGCTAAGCCAGATGTTGGCGGGGTTTCCAGGGTGTGCACTCTCCTGGATACCAGCCTATGAGTTCTCTTGCTCAATTCATGTCAGTGGGACTCTTTTGTTGTCTCGAGTCGGCATGCTGGTGGTAGCTACAGTGGCTTATTGAAGCGAATCCTGAAGAAAACATTAACCATTTGGCCAAGGCTTGGCTTTGTTTCGGGGTTTTGCTGTGGGCTGACCTAGAGTCCCTCTGTTTAGGAGACGTCCTGAGTGAGGCTATGCAGTTGCCTTCACTCAAGTGATATTCCCCAAGCTCAGTCGGACTGGTGAAGGTGTCCACTTCCATCGGCAACCCCCTGTAGTTCATATGCCCTACTTGCCACATTTTCTAATGACAAAGCCAGTTGTAGCGCCTGTTTGAAGTGGATTTGGGCTTTTGCATGGTTACATCTACCATAACA